GGAGGTTAATTGCCGGCATACTCCAGCTCCCAGGTGGTCCAGTCATTCGTACGGTTGTTCGGTAGATTGAAACTACCGAACAACCGGCAGAAAAGCATGAATATGGCTTTTCTGCATGGAAAAATAAAGTCTTTTAAAAGGGGGCCATAGTCCAAAGGCAGCAGGCGGGCAACCAGGCTTCTCCAATGCAATGTGGCGAGATTGGTCTTGTCACAGCCACGATGTGGCAGGATTTGGCCTCTCAGTGATTGTAAGAGAATCAAACATGTGGCCGTGACTTGGGGAGCCCTAACTGTAGCCCTAAAGAAGGGCGGGCGAGGTAGCTAACTATGATTTGGTCATGGGGCTGAACCTCCATGTATGAGGTGGGGGTGTAGACCTTGCGGGACCATTGTATTACTTAGCATAGCTAAGGCCAGCGCCTAACCCCCAGTTCACTAGCCTGATGGGGCTTGTCTCTTAGAATGGTGTAATTGAACGTATGTATATACTTAACCTTGAGTATTGTCCTATTCCTTTGGTCAATGTGCCAGAAGATTTCGATATATACTTGCTTCCGCAGGGAACGGGTCCGGTGAAGATATCCTAAGAGTAATGTAGATACTAGAGGGCCTGATGCATGCCTTTGGTATGCCAAATGTAAAAATGTCAAATGTATGGGTAAAGTGTAATAAGGAAATGCAATGTAGGAACCCGTGTACCCGTGAGGGACCTGAACATAGGTCCGTAAGTAGAGGCAAGCCCCCTGGGGTTCCCACAATTGTGACGTTTACATGATACGAAGACGAAGTGAGGCCTTGAGGAGAAATGTAATTGTAGTGAGTAAGATTTACAATACCTGAAACTGAAATGCAGGGAACCAGGTAGTCTTGTCAGTGATTGATGCCGTGTAACTTGGTGAAAACTGCGGTAATGACACAGGTCTGAGTGAAGAAATGTAGAAACAATAGACAAGAAATGTATGGTTAAATAAGTAGTAGCGAGGTGGTGTAGGTTTGTGTAATTGATGTTCTAATCGTATTGAGGGATCTCCGACCTGGCCGTTTGAAGTTGGGAGGTGGGGAGGCGGAATGAGACCGTGGAGGCTGAATGAGGCCTCCAAAGAAAAGAGAACTGGTAATCCTTCTTACCTGATACAGGGTACTGGGATATCACTTCTTGAAGACTGTTTAGAGGAAAGTAGTAGAACCTAAAACATATGCAGTCTAAGTGTAAGGAACCGGTATATAAGGTCTTTTAAGGAAAGGAGGTTTTAAAATCGTGTTAATGGTCTGTAATGACAAAGGACCGTAACGGTACTTCAGAGGACACAAGGCACCTGCCTTGTTGTATTACCAGATAAAATAGAAAGGTGAACAGCGCTAAAAATCAGAAAATGTACATACGTTTTGTAGAAATACTGGCCAGCAGAGTAACTTAAAAAAAGAGAGAAACAAAAATACAAATAATGGTACAGTATGTATGAACGATATAATTCCACAAGAACAAAGGTGTTATATTCACACTCACACTTTGAGGAGCTATATCAGCTCGGTGTTAAGAGCCTGGACGGAATAATCCCGTCTATGGATTTCTTGAGGTTCAAGACCGTTGGTGAATTTATAGGTGTAAATATTCGTTACATGAAAAACAAGAGTAAAATACACCACATGGTATAGTACGTAAATATAAAATATTGTGAAAAAAAAGTGGATGATCCTACTTACATATACTAGAGCAACGACCTGCTCTAGTTTGGAGAATTTCAGGTGGAATAATCCCCACCTTGGGATATAGTGAACCCAGGTATAGCAGCAAAGCAGTATTGGATAGGAAGGAGGACAAAAGGAATGACTGGATAGTTTAAAAAATATATATACTTTAATACAATAAGTGAAAAGTAAACTATAAAACCAGTCCTGTATAAAAGTCCAAAATTCTTCCTCACTTGACGCGTTTCGCTTTTGAGAAAGCTTCGGCGAAACGCGTCAAGTGAGGAAGAATTTTGGACTTTTATACAGGACTGGTTTTATAGTTTACTTTTCACTTATTGTATTAAAGTATATATATTTTTTAAACTATCCAGTCATTCCTTTTGTCCTCCTTCCTATCCAATACTGCTTTGCTGCTATACCTGGGTCCACTATATCCTAAGGTGGGGATTATTCCACCTGAAATTCTCCAAACTAGAGCAGGTCGTTGCTCTAGTATATGTAAGTAGGATCATCCACTTTTTTTTTCACAATATTTTATATTTACGTACTATACCATGTGGTGTATTTTACTCTTGTTTTTCATGTAACGAATATTTACAACTATAAATTCACCAACGGTCTTGAACCTCAAGAAATCCATAGACGGGGATTATTCCGTCCAGGCTCTTAATACCGAGCTGATATAGCTCCTCAAAGTGTGAGTGTGAATATAACACCTTTGTTCTTGTGGAATTATATCGTTCATACATACTGTACCATTATTTGTATTTTTGTTTCTCTCTGTTTTTAAGTTACTCTGCTGGCCAGTATTTCTACAAAACGTATGTACATTTTCTGATTTTTAGCGCTGTTCACCTTTCTATTTTATCTGTCCATTTATCACAAGGTAGAGGAACACCTTGTTGGTGAACTGCAGCTTATCCCTGAGAAGAGAGCGCTTATTATTCTTTTGCATTTGTTGTATTACCAGGAGCTCTATAGACACAGACAGTATAGTTAGATCTCCCTCCTGACAGGTGCCCTTAAATGCACAGATTAGCCTGCTTATTATTATTTTTTCTCACTGCAACCCTTTCATGCACCACTCAGACTCATTTGCCGATTTGTTAGTCACAGATATGTGTTTGGGTATAGGGATAATTATCTGACAGCTGTTTACAGTGAATCATTTACCCGGCCGTTTGCTTTGGTGCCGGTGTTTCATTGAAATGTGTCCAGCTCGGAGGGGATGGGAGCATGGGCAAGCAGCGCAGTAGCTCTTTAAGAGCTTAAGGCTGGAATACCTGACATCATACCCGGCGGCGAGTGCTGCGGGAGAGAGAAGGGCAGCAACACCTGGCGAGATTTGCATGGAGCAATGATAGGAAACCGAGTGTGTATATATGACCCTCACATTGCCTGTACCTAAAGAACCAAGATTATGTCTGGCCCTTTAACTGTTTTGTATAAAGGATTGGTATGTTTGATATGCCACTTCGGATACAGCCGAGAGAATAAGGATGAAAGGATTCAGAAATCCTTCCATGTTAACCTTTTGAAGGAGTATCAGGAAAGGCCAGAAGATATTGCGGCCATATGTATCCCCGCTACAGACGACCAGAGCCCGGTAGCCTACTCAGTACTGTCCAACTAGGGGAGCGCTTAAATCCCGCAGAAAAGGGCCAACTTAGGCAGCTGCTAACGGAGAAAGAATCAACTTTCTCCCAAGACCACACTAGCGACCCATCACGTCGAGACCCCGGAACAAGCACCCCTTAGACAACCCCCCTACCGAATCCCCGAGACAGTTAAGGAAGGGATGAGAAAAGAGATACAGGAGATGCTTCAGTTAGGGGTTATTGAGCCCTCAGACAGCCCTGTAGTAGATGATTTACTGCAAACCAATTAGTTTGAATGACTATCTGTTCCTGTCCAAATTAAAGATAATAAAGTTGCGTGCACGCAGAAGTAAATTCACACTGGGACACAGAGTTCAGGTTAATGAAAGAACTTCGGAGAAGTTTAATGGCTTCTGATTAAAAAGCAGGCTCGCAGGCCCTTTTAAAGGCATTATTACATCATTGAAGAAAATCAAGATATAGACAAATAGACATTGTTAATTGGCTTAGGTGCTAAGTAGTTAGTAAAATGCCCTCCCTACGGGGTGTACCATCTTAGGTCACTATCCTCGCCATGATTGTCTCCTCCAGGTTTTAGCGCCATTTTGTTAACATGAGGAGCTCACTCGACGGGAGGGGCCTTTTGGCAGCTATCCATTTAGAGTGTAGCCTGGCACTGTTAGTTTCTCAAGGTTAGGTTTCAAGGCTTTTAGTAAATACACATTTTATCAAAGCTATTTCTTGCTGACATGCAAATTCTATGTTCTATAGACAAAGCTTTCTTGTAAAACTATGGGACCTCTTAGAGGTATAGCAAGAGGATTTAAAGGGGCCTTACAGACTTATAGAGGCCTAATAATTCTACAACAGTCCCCCCTTAAAATGTTATTTGCTAAAAGACAAAACTTCATTTGTTAGTATCAGAAGATGTGTTAGCCCAAAGACACAGAAACCCCATGACCGCTGACTTAGTGTTAATGCAAAGTGCAAGTCTATCCCTCTCTTGACCCTAACAGGCTGCAGCACATCCGTCAGTACGGTTCAGGAACACTCTTCACTCCGCTGGTAACCCATAGTGGCTTATCCACTACTTCTCCGTACGGCAGTCTACCCATAAAGACGGACGCTGTCCCTGTACTGTCCCTTCCTGGACTTTCTGCACTTCATCAGCATACGGGAGAGTTTGTAGCGGAATACAGGGTTAGGTGAGATCTTGATCATCGATTGTCAGATGAGTGAGAGATAGTGTCGCTTGGTCTGTAGTCTTCTGTAAGAATTTTCTAAGGCATGGGAGGACACAACAAACGAGAAGAGCGAGAACAAAAAGGAAAATTAGTAGAGCCATACCAATATAGACTAAAGCTTTCTGCCAACTTGACATCCAACCAAACCATTTTCCCCAGGGATCAGTAACTCCAGAGTTTCTCTTTAACTCTTCTGAGAGTCTATTTAATTTATCTATGGCAAGAGTGACTTTACCATTAGGACCTGTGTTTTCTGGAATGTAAGTGCAACAAGTCATAGTGTCGGGTAGTATTTTACAGACCCCCCCTTTTTCGGCTAAGATCATGTCTAAGGCCAGTCTGTTCTGGAAGGTCATTTGGGATGAAGCCTGTAATTGCTCGGCCAAGCCCTGGAGGGCATCCCTGGTGTAGTTGACAAAACGCTGTTGGTTGTAATAAATGTAGTTAATCCAATTAAGGTTTTTGTTGGCAGTGACTATGGTAAAAAGTGATTCAAAACCTACAGCTACTTCATCTCTAGCTTAAATTCATTAGGCACCCCCTAGGTACCCCAACGGCATCTATGTAAATGTCGGGGTCAAAACTGCCTTTTGCTGGGGTTTCGCGCTTCACTCTGGCTGGTGTATGTGGAGGGTCATATGTGTCATGATGATTATCAGAAATAATATGAATGGGCATGATAACTTTGGCTAGGGTACACTCACCCCACCACTCAGTTTCCAGCCTAGATCTTAACTGTAGATCCTCACATAACCAGTAAATATCCCCCAATGACCTGGTATGGTGTTGCAACAGGCATATAGGAACAGTTCTGTAGGTGGCACAATAGCCATTGGAAAAGTTACCCATGAATTTACCAATCCCATCATAGATAGCATAACAAGTGTAATTACCCTTGTAAATCGTGATTCCATCTGGGGGTTTGACATTACCAATTAAGAGGGGGTACTCTGCCGCCCATGCTTCGCAGAGGGATCTGTTGAAATTATAGCGGTAGGCAAAAAGACTAAGGAAGCAATTCTCTATCGCCAAAGGGAGAGTTAGAGGAACGGTGCCAAGATGAGGTCGAGCACCACCGCACACATAACATGCTGTTTTATTATAGTTAAAATGGTCTGGTATGCCTATTGCAACACCCAGGGATGAGGGAGTCCGACTTATAGCGAAATGTCTCAAACTGGATAATGGCAGGGGTTTCACCAAATACCCCGCCTTAAGAATAGGAGTAGCTTTGTATGCCCCTAAAATTAGGAGCAGTGGGATCCAGGAGTCAGTTCACAAAAAAGCCTTTTTTGTGAACTGACTCCTGGATCCCACTGCTCCTAATTTTAGGGGCATACAAAGCTACTCCTATGCTGTTTTATTATGTTTGTTGGCATTATACCTCATCCATTCTAACCACAAATTAATGTCATTGAATCCAGTTTCAGCGGCCATGGTATCTTCAAAAGTGGGGTTAGCGATGGCCATCATATCTTTAAAGGACTGGATATGTGGTTTTAGCGGATTTGGGACCATATGATCAGCCCCTTGCCACTCTGGAGAGTGGTACATATCTCTGAGGTAGAAATGACCTAATTTGTTGTAGGAACCTTTCTTCCAATACATTCCCATTACATATCGGTCTGCATCCTCGGGGCCAGGATGTTCAATATTTAACATTAATTTCATAGGGGTACTTCCTCCAGGCTTTCTTAAAGTCATTCCTTGAAGGAGGGATCTACCCTGATTGTCTATCTTAGATAAAGCACTTTTGGGTCTATAACCCCAGGCAGGCCCAGTATTCCATCCCGCAGCCCCCCAGTAGTTACAGTCATAACCCCATTGTTCATCTACTACACAAACGTAAGGGTCTTTTGCTTGTGGTATATCTTTATAAATGGCTTGAATCTGTGACTTAGGGAATGGGCATTCTACAATATCACAGTAATCAAAGGTGAATGTAGCCACGTGGGTACATGATGAATTATACCAGAAAGTGTACCCACTAGCATCCTTGGTGATGGCCACCTGCTGGGCTTTAAGGAGGCCAACTAAGGAGATAATGTACCAGAGGCACATGGTTGCATAGAGTTAGCTTCCTCTGGGGCAGGTGTCTTCTTGCAATGGGAAGCGTGGATCCAGCTAGGCCTTCCGGCCAATTTGACAGAGGTAGGGGAGATCAGGAGAACTTGGAACGGTCCGTCAAATCTTGGTTCCAGGGTGTGTTTTCGTACAAATTTCATGACCAGAACCCAGTCACCGGGGAGCAGACTGTGGTTGCCTGTGTCAGAATCAGGATCTGGAATTGAAGAGAAAACTTGGGCATGGATTTTGTTCAAAGCATTGGCAAGTTCAGTTACATAATCTACTAAAACATCAGTTTGAAGTTGTAGTTGTTGGGGAAAATAGCAACCTAGCCTAGGTGCAGTCCCAAATAGAATCTCATATGGGGACAGTGAGGTAGTATTTTTGTACAAGAGCATTCATTAGATCCTTTGATAAATGTGCAGGTCCGTGTGCCCATTGTACGACTGCTGGGTACAAATTCTTAGGGAGGCAGAACTTGAGGTTGTTGGAGTACACTCCATCCTTCAGAACTGCCCCTTTCTGTTTCCATTTTTGTATTTCTTCAGGAGCAACTGCAGCCTGTTGTTCCCGTAGGATTTTTAGATCAGTTGGAAGTGTCTGCAAGGTAAATGTGGGAGTTTCTTCGTTTCCGGACACACTTCTATCCACTTCCTGTAGTTCTCTTGCAGCTTGTTTTGCAGCTTGATCAGCCAGATGGTTGCCCCTTGCTTCATCCGAATCCAACTTCCCATGTGCCTTTATCTTCAGAATGGCCACTTCTTCTGGGAGTAGGAGGGCGTCCATCAGCTCCTTGATTGCGGAACCGTGCTTGATTGGTGTACCGGCGGTGGTAAGAAATCCTCTTGTTTTCCAAATTAATCCGAAGTCGTGAGCCACGCCCAGTGCATATCTTGAATCCGTGTAGATATTGGCGCGCTTTCCTTCAGAGATCTTGCATGCTGAAGTCAGGGCTTGCAATTCAGCTTCTTGTGCAGACATTGTTGATGGTAAAGATGATGATTTGACAATTTCATCTGTTGTGGTTACGGCATATCCTGTATGGTATCTTCCTTCTTCATCAGCATATCTTGAGCCGTCCACAAACAGGGTGAGATCGGGATCTACCAATGGGTCTTCATGCACAGTTGGTAGATGTGTTGTTTCCATTTTCATCTGTTCAAAACAGTCATGAGGTGTATTTGGGTCGTAGTCATTCACTATGGTTAAATCTTGGAACTCATTTTCCAGGAAATGACGTGGCCATGCTTCTAGGTGGTCAGTTGTTGGATATTTGACAACACCATTTTCCTGTAGCTGTGATTCGTCCATAGTGGCCCATGCTTTTGCCATAGGCCCAAGATCATTCCATGATATTGTTTTCAACTTGGTCACAGGGACATGTGGAATGGCAGTGTCCCAATGACGGTACAAATACTTGAGTTCCGGAGGTAGATGAATCAGGACCGTACTGTTGCCTTCAGAATCACAGTAGAAGTCTTGTGCAGTGAGTTTTACTTCGACCAGATGATAGAGTTCATCTTCATAGCAGGGTTCAGGAGTGATGTTTGGTTTGTACCACATGGTACAGAAGGCATATCCTGCTCCGTCATGAAGGAGTGCTTGTCCATCATGAAAGGATAGGTTGGGATGCATTTCCTTTTTGATGGTGCCAGTGAGAAGAAAAACATAAGTTTCGTCCATGATGAATCCGTAGTATACACCCCCCTCAGGGAGTGGCAGAAGAGTGGACGGATTGAGAACTTGACATCTTTGAAGGGTAATGTTGTCAGGCAACAAAAGATGACATTGAAGGCGAAGATGCCTAGCAGGAGTAACATGCTTAAGTTGGACCTGGTTGACTATGGCAGAAATGTCATGAGGGGCCAAGACAACCAGGGGGTGGCCAAGGACAAGATCTCCAGTTCTTTCAATGAGCTCTTTGGGTGCAGCGGCCTCCAGGACCATGGGCCTGAGTGAGTACTCCTGTTGCATGGCCTTGTCTTTCAGAAACAAACAATTTGAAGGGTTTGGTATAGTCTGGTAGGCCAAGAGCAGGAGCAGAAGCAATAGCACGTTTAAGAGTACAGAAGTTGTCAAGGGCTTCTGTGGACAAGCAAAATGGGTCTGACTTGAGAGCATCATAAGGAGTGAGGCTTCTGGGATCCATGCTTGGCAATAGGAAATGAGGCCTAGAAAGGCGTGGAGGGATTTAGGAGTTTTTGGAGGCGGAATGGCCAGAACCACTCCGACACGATCACGGGTGAGGTGTCTGGTGCCATGGGACAGGCAATGGCCTAGAAAGATTACTGTGGCCTGGCAAAATTGAAGTTTGACAAGAGATGCCTTACACCCCTGATCTGCAAGATAACAAAGGAGGTCCAGAGAACATTTTCCTGTCGTGGGGATGTCATCTCCAAGTAAAATGGGAAGGGAACAAAGAACTGTAGTGTCTTTTCGTGACAAAGGTGTATTTAATTGAACTTGGCCGTCTGCAGTGAGGGTGATGGATGCTTGGAGGCGGGATAGGACATCAGCACCAACACAAGAGACATCGGTATCAGACAGGAACGATGAGTCAGGCAGGTCTTGTTCTCTAAGAACACTGCGGGCTGCACCTGTGTCAACCAGGAAAGTAGTAGGGTGACCTTCAATAGGTAAAGTTACAGTGGCTAGTGGCCCCCCTTGTTCCCTGTAGACACTGCCATGGCAGGGGCATTAAGCATCAGTGGGTTCTATCATTATAAATAATGGTTAATAGTAAGTGAAGTAAAGTTCCTATATGTCTTTGGGTAAAACATTAACTATTGCGGTACTATCATTTATATTAGTTAGACCATAACAATTATACCACCCTGTAACTAAAATGAATAACCAGTAGTGGCTGGGTTAATAAAACATGTCACAAACCCTTCTAATGCTAAACCATCATTTAACGTACAGGATGTTACTGTAAACATACGATCTGTAACTAGCAAGATTCGATTAAGCAAAGATACAATGTTTAAAATAACTTGCATTATTTGGCTATTTCCCTTGTTGCAAGATTAATCTGGATAATCAGCTGTTATGCTCTTATATTCGTGTCCAACAGATCTCATTTGTAGGTCACACCACATTTGCAAATTACATTTTAGCAATCTTTATGTTTTTTTTGTTTTTTATCACGGACACATTTCTGATACAGGGAAACAAATGGCATGGTTGTTTTAGTAATTATAATGTTTCTGTTCATAATATGTAGAGTGTAAGGAAAACAACATGTCTCTAAATAGGACGAGCATGATAGGGGTAGGCCTCATGATGGAGGCAGCCATGACAGGGGCGGGGAAGGAAATGACAGCAAGGGAGGAAGTGAGAGTCCATGATAGGTGTGGGAAAGGAAGACAGGAGGTGTGGGCATGGTAAGGGCGGAAGTGACGTCACTTTAGAAGCAACCGTGACTGTAGATAGGTCACGGGACTGGCAGGGTCAACCTCCTTCTGTACTAGGCGCCATCTTTAGGGTGGTGGCTGACGCACTTTCAACAATACACTATATTATAACTAATAAAATAAGTCAGTTCCGAGATTTAAATACTAAACTATAAATAAACCTGACAGGTTAAATAAGACAGTTGAAAACATTATGCATTTAACAGCCCATACAGCTGTCTCTAGAAACATGTTCTTTAAAATGATGCAAGATAAACTCACGGAATTCAACCAATTTCCCTTATCATCCTCCAACCATTAATCACTTTCCTCTTCACATACTAGCTTAACAACTTCGCATATTCCCTCTATCCACATTGCATAGTTTTGCAACAAATCACGCTTGCCTTTACACTTAACACGTCCAAATATTCCTCTATTCTTGTATCAGATTCACTTACCTAACCTCCGTAATCAACACTGAGCTACATTCTTGTGTCTCCCCCACAATCCTCACTACTTTATCACAAAACACAATTTATATATATATATATATATATATATATATATATATATATATATATAGCACCGTGGAATCTGCCGGCGCCGTGCAAACGGCAACAATAATAATATTATTACACAATTATAACACCATAACCTTTGAATTAGAATATTTTCCAGCAAAAATTCCGTCTCTAACTCTTATCAGTAGCTCCGAAATGCAGAAATGTAGGCAAGCGGGGAGGAGGGGGGGGAGAAAGTGAGACAGTGCAAAAAAGGGGAGAGAGAGAGACTGCAGGCATAAAGGTTAACCATGTGAGTGCTGTAAAGTAACAAGACAGAAGGACAGAGACTTATACGTTTGGAAACCAGAAATCTTTGACGGG